AACGGTAACCTGTATTAATTTAAAAGGAAAAAGAAATTGAAATTGAATTTGAAAAAGTTTTCATTTTAAAAAATTGAATGTTTAAAAATTTTAATATTTAGGAATATTTGGGCATTAATTTGGTAATATTTGCAATGGTAACATTAGGAAAGTAATATTTGAATAAAATAAATAACAAATAATCCAAAATAAAAGAAAAAAATTTAATAATAGAGAAAATAGCAAAAGAAAAGTACCAATGAAAAATTTTTTTTCCATTTATCAAAATTTAATTTTAAAATTTAATACAATCAAATATTAGTAATCATACCTTTTGTATCGGCGATAATCTATACATTTGATATTCAAGCATAACAAATAACTATTTAATAGTATGGTTGTAAGATAAAATAATAAATAAATTAGGTTAATTAAAAAACTAGCCCTGTCCTGATAAATGAATTCCGATGTTCTGAAATTTTACAAATCCTGAAACAAATATAATTTTCCTGTTCCTTATTAATTGATATATTCAGGAAACTAAATAAAATGTTAAAGTAAACAAAGTGATAAAACTTACTGATTATCAATATGTTTGGATGAATGAAATATAATATCTGGTACAAGAATAATCAATTTAACATCGTTCATTCCTATCAAAATTATCATTCCAATTTTTATAAAAACGTTAAATATTAATAATTTTAAATATTTAAAAAAAGAAGTAAAATTTTATCTTTATCATTAAATGGAATACAAATTATTTTTGCAAAAAAGCATGAAAAAAACTTTTTTAAATTTCTTGAAATTTCGTTTAATTAAAAAGAACAGAAATGTTTTTTTTTTTGTAATAATATTTAAAAACAATAGCACTTAATATTGTAAAACGCAAATTGAAAACAGAAATTGAATTCTTTAAATTTCGAAATTAATAATTTTTCACGTTAAACATAAGGCTGAATAAAATTTACTAAAATTTTTAAAAATAACAATTATCAAATTTTCGTGAATTACGTGAAATGCACGTCGAAAAAATTTCACGTGAGAGTAAAAAAAGTCTTAAAAAAAAAGTTATATTAAAAATGTTAAATTAAATACCATTCGAGTAATATTGATGGGAGTAATGAATTGGAAAAAAAAGAAAAAAATGATTTCATTTATAACTATTCCAATTGGAATCAGGCTGTAAGTTACAAAATTGTTAATTAATTTCAAAAAATAGCAAGTTTAGAAATAGTTAATTTTTGGAGAAAATGATGAAAACTAACAAAATGTTGAATTGTTGAATTTGGTAGAATGTCCAAAATATCCGGAAATGATGTTTAATGATCGATAATTACCGACTGCTAATAATGATAATAATTATCGATGATGGGGCACTATATTTGCATCATTATAGGTTTTGTAACCTAATGGATGAAATATCAATGACAAACAGATTAACAAAGGATTATACATACATATATGTGCAAATAATATAGGTTATCGATTGATCCATTGATTGATCAATTGATTAATTGATTGAATGATTGTTTGATGGTGCTAGTTTTTACGAACAACAATTATCCTAATACATCTGAATTATGATGTATCAAAGTTATTCCGATAATCTGTGAATTATTCGGAATTATAATGATATTACCGAAAAGATGCAATAATCAAAGAGGTAATCAATAAACTTTATCAGTAAATAAAGTCTGTCATAGATTAATCTGGACAATATTCAAATAAGTTTAAACCAGACTTCCCGAGAAAAAAGCTTGATAAATTATCTTAAGATTTTATTATTAAGTTAGTTTTGCCAACTTTACATTTTGCTTATAAAAAAAAATTGGACTGAAACTTCGCCCTTCTCTTTTTTTCAAACGGAAATCAAATCTTCAAGAAAACAGAAAATTCACATATATTTTTAAATTATATTTTCTTGTCATTGTATCATAAGTGAATAATTTTATTTATGCTATGTTGACCAGCACCTAATTGCATTTAATTTTTGCTAGATTCGGATGTGTCACATTGATCTTCGGTTTCTTATGCAAAAAAAT